ATCTATATAGTCTAGCAAAACAAATTCCCCCATGAGCCATGACTGAAAAGGTGTGTTTCTTTACATTTAATTTTAAGTTCATCACTTCTCTATGAAGAAATGGGTGACTTCTTCAGTGTTTTGGACTCGGGCTTTATCAGTATGTTGTTCAGAGTTCTAAAGTCTTTCAAAATTGTCTTTCTCTGTAATATTCTTCTTGATGTAGAATTTGTTCTCCTAGTTCTGTTCACTTCACTTTCCATCAGTTCATAAAGTTCTCCCCAGTTGCCTCTGAAATTGTCCATTTCATCATACTTGTAGTACAGTGATGCTCCGTTACGTTCACGTACAATTTGTTTAGCCATTTCCCCAAAGGACAGCTCTTCAGTTTCCCTTTTTTCCCCCTACAACGAAAGGCATTTGGTATGAATATTTTTGTATATACAGATCCTCTTCCCCTTTGTTTAATTTCACTGGGGTAAGGTATAGGCCTAGTCATGGGACAGCAGGGTCAGAGGGTACCCACAGTTTGTTAACTTTCTGGGCATTATTCCAAATGCTGGACTGATTCATATTTTCTCCAGCCCTGCACTTGGATTCCTGCTTCCCATAGTCCCTCCAACATTTGTGATTTTTTTCTTTTGTCACCTTTTGCTGGTCTAATAGTGTGAGGTAGAACTTCAAGGTTGCTTTGATTTGCATTTCCTTAATTATTAGTGATTGAGAGCATTTTTTCATATGATTGTTGATAGCTTAGATTTGTTCTTTTGAAAACTTCTTGTTCATATCCTTTGACTAGACATAGCACTTTAAGGTTTGAGAAATGCTTTTCATACATTACTCATTTGGTCTTCACAACAGTGCTGGGAAGCATAGGCATTATTATCCATATTTCCCAGAAGGAAACTAAGGCTCAGAAGTCACATAGCTAATATCAGAGGTAAGATTGAAGCTAGGTTTTCTCTTGACTGTCTGCACTCTGTCCTCCACAACGGAAGCATCCAAGTGTGGGGAAAAGGACACTGAGTTTGTTATCAGAAGACTTGGGTTTTAATTCTAGCTGTTTGGCCTGAGCCAGTTTCCCCAGTCATGTTTGGCTATTTTAAAATTTTTTTAGTTATTACCACATTCATACAAAAGTAATTATCTTACTAGAAGAAGAATTCTGGGCTCTATCTAGACTTTGAAATCTTTGTTTAGTTTCTTATCACTATGGAGTCACTTTACTAGAAATCTGACTTTTAAAAAACAATTTAAAGAATGAAAAGCTCATGAAATTACATTCTCAGTAAGTAATTTATAGAAAAAAAAGTTCACTGAGAAAATTGCCTGTATATTTTTTGTTGGCTTAAGTAACACTTTGGTGAGTGGGGGAAATGGACTGAATTGATTTACATATCACTTATTCTGACCATAAACTATTCACAATTCACAATTTTCAAGTTCAAAGTTTTATAGTAGAGTAGAATGCAGTTGGTATATTGCAATATATGAGTTGTGTGTATGTGTGTGTACTGAATTTTAAAGAGTTCTAATTGCAAAGTTTAGAAATTTTCTTCTCAACCTTCACTCGTAATTTCCACTCTGAGCTGTTATAAAAAAAAGATCAGGATTCACAGCTCAGACTCCTTTCTTTTCATCAGTATAGTTAGATTAAATAAGCAGAGGTATTGGGACCTGTGCTTCCAAAATTAATTGTTGGAGAGAGAACCTTCCTTTAATATTATTTGCTGCTATGGTCAGACCAAGCTTTCTTTGTTCAGTAATTTTAATTATACTACAGAGATTGGAATTTAACTAAGATAACTTTCCTATCAAAATACATAGTCTAAAACAAGATTCTTTTCACTGTTTAATAATAATAAATATAGCTAACATTTATGTAGTGCTTACAATCTGCCAGGCAGTATACCAGACACTTTACAAATATTATTTGAATGACCCTGGGGAGTTGGTGCTGTTGTTAACACCTATTTTGCACGTCAGGAAACTGAGGCAGACAACAGTTGAGTGACTGGCCCACGATCACACAGCTAGGAAGTGTCTGAGGCCGGATTTGAACTCAGGAAGATGAGCCTATAATGTATAAGTCAGGGAGGGGAGACCTGCAGCCTCGAGGCTACGTGTGGCCTTCAAGTAGTGTGGTCCTTTGACTGAATCCAAACTTCACAGAACAAATGCCCTTAAAAAAGGATTTGTTCTATAAAACATGGACTCAGTTAAGAGGCCGTACCCAAGGATCTAGAAGTCCGCAGGTTCTCCACCCCTGGTGTAAGGTAGTGGGGACACAAAGACAAAATGAAACCTTTTTTTTTGCCCTCAAAGGACTTAACATTCTACTAGAGGATGCAAAATGTACACAGATAAGGGAATACAGGGTACTTTGAGGAAGGAGAAGATATTAACAACTTAGGGGTTCTGGAGGACCTGGCACCTGTGCTGAGCTTTGAAGGGAGCTAATGTTTCTAAGAGGCAAAGAATTTGAGTGAGTTTTGTATAAAGTTATAGGATTCAAAACATTTTGATATATTACAATGTACTCTCTCCTATAAAACAAATATCTACTTGTTCTCTGCAAAGTCTTTTCTTCTCCAAGCAAAACATCCCCGGTTCCTCACATGATTTAAGACCCTTCACCTGAGGAGCCCTTGTCTGGACACTCCTTGTAAATGTCCTTCCCAGCATGGAGCACTAAGACCTGAACACATTATTCTAAGTGTGGTGTGACCAGGGCAGAGTATGAGACTGTCTTTTATCCCTGAAAATTGTGCTTCTCTGTAGCCTAACAACACATTAACTTTCTTGCCTATGGTATCATATACACGGATGTACATCTAAGTCTTCTTCAGACAAACTGCCATCTAGCCATATCGTTTGTGAAACTGATCTTTTTTTAAAATACTAGTGGTCATCCAGTGTGTTAGTAATCCCTTGAAGCTTTGTATCATTTACCCCTCAGAGCATTGCATTCCTATCCATATCATTTATAAAAAGTTGAACAGCTACGGTCCAAGCACAAATTTTGGGAGCCCCTCACTGGAGACATCACTGAAATTGATCTCAAAACATTAATGACCTTTTTGGTTCAGCTATTCACCCCCATTAACTGTTTTATCAGCTAGCCCTTGTCTCTAGAACGACGTGAGATTATCAATATTTTGCTAAAATCTAGGTAAACTATACAGTATCCCCCTATCTACCACTGTAGTAACCTTAACAGAAGAGGAAATAAGGGTATCTGACATGACGTTTTCTTGATGAAGTTGTGCTGCTGGCTCGTGGGGATTGCTATTTCTTCTAAGTCTTCACTAACCATTCTAGAACATATTCTAGAATTTCTTTCTCAAGAATAAAAGTCAAACTCATTGGCCTCGAAAAAGTTTTCAAAATAACATTTCATTGATTCTTTGAGGAAAAAAAAACACATTGCCATTTCCCAGTTACACAGCCTATACCCATGGAGCCATCCCTCTCGACAAAGAAGTATAGCTCAGCCAAACAAACTGACATACTGGCTGTGTCTGATAGCATAAGCCCACCAGGGTTTTGCCACCTCTATGCTGAAAAGGGTATGATTCCCTCTGTTTAAGGAATTCTTGCTATGGAAACCCCTATGAGGCTGGTCTGTAGCTCCTCTGTAAATCGAGCTTAGTTCCCTAGGACACTGTTGTCTCTTGACTAAAGCCAGTTTTGTCCATGATCATACAACTAGTATATCAAATTTGAATCTAGGCCTTCCTGATTTGAGCTTGGCTCTGTAGCCGTTAATATGGTATTGTGTCTGCAATTATAACAGGTTTGGTGTAGGTGGAACCTTTCCCTTCTATCTTTCACCTCCTTGGGGTATCTGCCAATAATGCTTTTCCTGGGATAGAGTATGAAGAGTTTAATCAGTTTTTTCAAAATTCTAAATTACCCTGCAACACAGACTATTTTCATCTTTGTCGACCTTAACCAGTTTGCTGACTAGGAGGTAGTAGGCTTAAATTTGCATTTCTGTTATGATTTGTGGTGTTTTTTTCATTTGGTTGTTGGTCATTTACATTTCTTCTGAAAACTATTTTTATCCCCTTATGTATGAGTAATAGCGATCAGTCATGTATTTTTATTAATTCCTTGTATACCTTAGATATCAAGCCTTTATCAGTTATTTTTGATGCAAAGTACCCACGCCCCGATACATTGGTATTTAATTCTAGTTGTGTCAGCTTTGTTCATGCAAAGGCATGAATTATATAATTGTATAATTAAAATTGGCTATTTTACTTTTCGTGATCTGTTATGAATTTTCTCCAAAACTATAGATCCAAAAGGTACTTCCTCCTCCTTACCTCTTTATTTTGGTTCAATTTTGTTTTAATGACGTGGCCCAGTGGTATTAAACTTAAATAGAAATTGATCCCCACATCTGCATATTAGCTTAGAAAGCCACACATTAACATTACCTAAGTCATACTGTATTTTTACTTATTTTGTTCAACATTTCCTAATTGTATTTTGATCTGGTTTGGATTAAAATGGGAGTTTTCACACTTGAAAGTTGTCTGTTGAATTTGATGTCTCTGATGTGACCTTTTATAGTAAGTTTGTTCATCTGTTTGGAGCTTATTTTAGTATCTACTGTAATGTATTGGTCTAAAGCAAATTTTTACTAAGCTACTTTTCAGTATTTGTTGAATAGGTAGTTCTACCAAAAGATTTATATTCATTGACCTGTAGTTAGAGAGTCTATTTTCCTCCCCACACCCTTTCCCTTCTAAAAAAAATTAAGACATTTGCCCTCTCTAAATCCTTGATACCACTTCTGGTTTTTCACGATTTTTCACCAAGAAACAGCTCAGGTGGCACAGTGGGTAGGATGTTGGACCTGGAGTCAAGAAGATGTGAGTTCAGATACGGTCTCAGACAGTTACTAGCTGTGCAACTCCTGGGCAAGTCATTTAACCTGTTTGCCTCAGTTTATTCAGCTGTAAAATAGGGATGGTAAAAGCACCTGCCTCCCAGGGTGATTGTGAGGATCAAATGGGATAATATCATCATTAAAGTGCTTAGCATAGTAGGTGCTGTATAAACACTAGATGATATAACTTTTGGAGATTGCTGATAGTGCTTTAGAATGCATATCCATCAGCTCTAAGAATGAAGTTGATGAGAGCCTGTTGATCAAGCTTATCAAGAGGAGCTAGATGTTATCTCCTTACTTATCTGGGGTATCAACTCCCTGTTATATTCCATCCATTCTAGTGAAGTCAACCAGCATTTAGTAAGCTCCTGCTGTGTGCCCCACACCACTGGAGGATGCAAGGAAAGGCAGTTCAAAGATTACTGTCTTTGGCAGAGAAGACAGGAGCACAATAACAGTTGATCAGCTCTGCCATCAATCCCCCATGTCCTTCATGCAAAAAGGCTGTAGGTGGCCTCAGACTTCACCAAAGCACTGGCCATGAAACCACCTGAAAATGTCTCCACCACAAGCATTTTCTCCAGCTGATAGTTCATGCTTATCAGCGTATATAACAGAAAAAGTAGCCCTTCAATGAAAATAAGATTTTCAATTTAAATTTTGTCATGACACCCATCTGCATTGAACATTTTTTAAACATAGCCATCATTTCTTCATTTGCCTCAGCATATCAAAAACCAAAACATCTTCATAGGCTGATTTCTCAGGTGTTGTCAGTAAGAAGATTTCAAATTAATAGGATTTCTGTGCTCTTCATTTTCAATGCAATGAAGTATTAAGATCCAAAATGAACTTAGAAGAGTGATAGAAATCTGAGTTGGAAAGATTAAGTTTTTTTTTTTCAATCAACATAGCCAGCCTAGACTACAGTTATCCCTACCATATCATCGGGGTTAGGTGCACAGGGCAGCCTCTCCCCCCGTGATCTGGAGAATCCACATAAAATCTTTTGGCCCTCTCTTCATACCAGAGAAGAAGTCTAAACTTTTTCTTTTTTGTTTATGAGGCGTTTACCTTATGGATTAAGTATTTGGTCATAGGCTCTGTGTGGTCTGCTGGCCTTCCTGTGTCATCTGTGCTTTCTGCAAAACTCCAAAAAAAAAAAGTCCCATTTAATGTCTTATGCCAATCCGCAATATATCGAAACATGATGGGGAAAGTCAAGATATAGAAGGGATAACTACTTCTGGAGCATTCTGTATTTCAAATGTGCAGTGTCTTGAATCTGCTGCCATTTCCAAAGAAAGGCAGTTGCTTAAGCTGGTTGTTTTCTGTGATGGAATTTTCTCTCAGATTTCTGGTATATGCTTATGTTTTCTGTTATGTTTGGATCTTGCTTTTTTTTTTTGTAGCCCTGTTTCACCTAGTGCCATGAATTTTTGTTTCACCTGAACAGCCGTAAATCAAAGTTTCTACATGAGTGTGAGGCTAGACCTCTGTAGAGTTTGTGATTGCAGTGGTTTCTTCCACCACCTTCATATTCACACTTTACACATTATCTCTTTGGCAACAGAGTAGAAAGTGACCACTTCTGCAGTCTGCTGCCAGCAATGGAATCTGACCACTAGCTGTGCCCCCAGCTTCCATTTCTGCCAGAAGTCAGGGTGATTGTATTGTAAGTAGCAGAGTATTAAGCTAAAACTCAACATGTCTACCAGGAAGTCATCTCAAAAGATGGTCACCAGATCTATCCAAGGAAGAAATCTCACTTTCACTGCTATGTGGTATCAAGTATGTAGCATCATAGGTGGTTCCTTTGCAAAATTGTCTCATCAAATTCCAGTCATGGTCTGCTTTCGGTGCGTGGATTCACTGTCTCATTTGCCATTGCAGAAATAGTCTAAGGGATATTGCCCTCATTTAACTCTTACCTTCAGTGTTTACTTACTTTAAAATATTTTCAGGTTGACCCCACCCCACCCCTAAAGGTCATTTGGCTAGATTCTACATGCTTATTGCTCTTAATCCTTACACAAATTTCTTTGGTCTCCTAATTATTTTTATTCTTCATTGAATGTGAAAGTTGAAAATAGTTTTCTAGTGGAAACTTTGCCAAAATTGTGTAGCAAGGACCTATTATTTCCCCATTCCATAACAGAAATCTTTTATGTTCAATCCAAAATAGCAATGACTCCTTCCTAACTCGCCTTACCTCTGCCCCATTCTGCTTTTCATAATTACCCCAAGATCTTTTTCAAACTAATCAGGTCCCGGGTATTCTTACCTATTAAATATTTTTCATGGAATTTTATTAGATTTTTCTCCAAGTTGTTTATTGTGTTTTTTTGAAAAACAACTTTTCTTTTGAACGTCATGTATTTTTACTTTCAAGACTCATTGTGTGAACATTGAATTTTCTTTTTTATTTGTAAATGTTTGCAGTAGGTTTCTTGTCCTTTGCATATACTGATTACTCAGCTTTCTCATCAGTCTTACTCCTTACTCGTAAACAGTGCCCGCTGTGGCTGTTTAGTTTTGCTAATCATGATTGAAGTCACTTCTTTTAGAGTTGCCTTGGAATGAAGAATGTTGATGCTATGCTCATTGGTCTGGATGGTCAGTACTTTGTTTTTTTTAATATGAGAAACTCTAAGGGAAAACATTGAAATTTTTTTCATCGTCATTAGAATATATAAGCATTATTTCAAGTTGTAGCTTTTTACAGCTGCTCCACTAAAATAGAGTCGCATTCTGAATTCTTGCCTCCTGTTTATCATGTAACTTCTGTGGCAGATCAGAATTCCTGTTGAAGGATGAATTGTTGTCATATGTGGCGATCGATGCTGACAGCTGACACAGTAGATGTGGCGGTATGGACCTGATATCATAACATGAGAGCAAGCTGTCTTCATAGGGTTCGGAGGCGTGGAGCTGAGAGGGACCTTGTCGGGTCATCGTGTCCAGCTCTCTCATGTTGCAGATGAGGAAACTGAAGTTCGGAGGGGTTTGTGGCCTGCTCAAGTTTACACTGGTAGTAACAGCAGAGGCCAAAGCTCTGTCCTGTGACTCCAAAGCTAGGGCTGCCTCATTAATATATGACATGCTAATTTGATTAGAAATGAAGTAAGATACAACATAGTCTTTAAATACAATTCCAGTTTCCTCAGTGGATTGTAAGCTTTTTAGGGCAGCAACCACAGGTTGTTTAGCTGTATATATCACCCTCCATGGGTAGCACAGTGCTTGGCGTGAAGTAGGGTCTTAATCAATGTTTGTTAATTGAATTATTGGAAGAACATTGGATGTAGTCCCTTAGACAGCTTCTGTGTTTCCTCAAGGATGGATGTGATAGAGTGGAAAGAACACTAAACATGTACATTGGAGACCTAAGCATTCTCTACCTGGGCCTGACTTTGGTATTAACTAGTTATGCCATTTTTGACAATTTGCTTGAGAATAAAATTCTCCACTGAAATAATTTTTTAAATAATAATTTGAACTTTGCCTAATTTAACTGTTTCTCCATTTAGTGTTCTTCAAACCAATAAAATATCCTTGATCACTTTTTTATTTTTAGGAGTGGCTTGTGTGAAAGATCCATTGCATGAAGTTCTTTGTTACTGCTTTCTAGAAGGCTGAGGTAATATGAAGTTACCTTCAGTGAAGGGCCACTGATGGTTTTGGAGCAGAGGAGTGACATCATCAGACTTGTGTCTTAGGAACCTAAAAATCCTTCCCGTGGAAATAGTCAAGGCTATACACATCTTTCCCAGGTCCCTTTGGGTTTGAACGTTCCATAATCATAGACCATTTTGAAGTTAGGAATGTGCACATTCACATTTTAAAGCTCATTTTTTCTCATAAGAATAGAAAACCTGTAGAGTACAAATTTCTATTTCCCTGCCACAGAATTAATCGCAGCATCATAATAAGCAATTGTTTCTGCTTTTTGCTAACAATTAAAGCTAATGATCTAGAAACATATTTTCTTTTATAATGAAATGGCACAAATGAATTTTAGCTCTTGCCTGACCGAGTATTCTGAACCTCTCTAGTTTATGTTACTGGGTTCTAATGTAAAATTTATAAACATGATGAATGAACTCCACTGAGTGCATATAAATCATCTGTTGTCTGGCTTCTGTTGGTGGTTAAGAAAGAAGTTTAAAAAAAAAAACAAACAACTTGGAGCAAAATCTAATAAAATTCCATGAAACAAAATATTTAATAGGTAAGAATGCCTGGGACCTGATTAGTTTGAAAAAGATCTTGGGGTAATTATGTAAAGCAGAATGGGGCAGAGGTAAGGGGGGTTAGGGAGGAGTCATTGGTATTTTGGATTGAACATAAAAGATTTCTATTATGGAATGGGGAAATAATAGGTCCTTGCTACACAATTTTGGCAAAGTTTCCACTAGAAAACTATTCAATTTTCACATTCAATGAAGAATAAAAAAAATTTCTCACCCCCACCAACATCATCTTTGCCTACTATCTCAATCCACAGGTCACAGGATCAGGAGGAGTTGTTTGGATCACATTTCTCATTTTTAGAACATTACTGAAAAATATCCAAGTCTGGAAAACAGGAATTCTTCATGGCATCTGTCTCCAGTATAAAACGATCCAGTTCTTCAATGCGTAGCATTTCTTTTATGTCTTTGAAGTTAAAGGATTTCACTGTAATTTTTAAAAGAGCTGAAATATACTTTAAAAAAACTAGGTTAGGTGGGGAGAGCCCAGATGTTGTAGACAGCAAGTCTGTAAAGTGCTCTTTTTCTAAACTGACTAGCTTATTTAGTTAACATAGACATAGCTTGAAGACAATGCAGCTTTGCTGAAAATCACCAGCAAGTGGACATTTAACCCCACAAAGGAGTTACATTTACTCTGTACTACTCTGACATTCTTTTGTTCAAATAGTATTAAATTCTCAGCAGGTAGTTTAGGACTACAAGAGGATTCTTCTTAGCTCAGTGAAACCTAGTCTTAAGTCTTTTCCCCTAAGCGGCTTGTCTTTTTATGTATGGGAAAATTTCACAAAGAGGAGTTGAAAGATTAATATAAGGCTAGAAGAAAGTTAAAGCTGAGATTGGAAATGAGTTCCTGGCATGTTTGCATCAGTGCAATGTACTTTTTTTGGTGAGGGGTGAGGCTCAGCCATCTGTGACATTCTTCCATTTTCTTTTTAAAAAAAAGTTATTGCATTGCACCGTAATTATTACAACTGTAGAGAAAGACACTTATTAATAGGAAATGGACATCTAGGTTAATTCAACACCCTAACTCCCCCAGATAGATGGTATTTTAGGGCTGAAAACTGTCCCTCTTTGCTGTCCTGGTTTCTCCTGGGCAAAATACATAAAGAGAAAGCAAAGATGCAGTCTATATATGTTCCAAAAGCAAGAGTAGGAAATTCTTGAAGCTTTGTTGGAGGTCTCTCATCCCTGAAGTGGAAATGATTTGTCTTTTGCAATGAAAAGGCAAGAAGCAACCATGATTTTATTATAATAGTATTTGATAAAGTAAGACCAAGCACTGTTTTGAGGGGTTGATCTGATGTTGGTTTGATGATGTGTGGCCAAACTAATACCATGACATTTTGAATAAATGTGCACTTTTGTTTTGGAAAAGTCTAACAAGCTTTAAAAAAAATACTCTAACAGGCATAATATTAAGTGTTTGGGGGTTTAAAATACTTTTGCCTCTTTCATAAAGGGGAGGAAGATAGGGGACAAACAGAGACCATTTACTTTTAAGATGGGGATCGTTATTTTTGGGATGACAGTGCTTAGGCTGAGCTTTGTCTAAACCTATTTCTGTTCTTAAATGGTAGCAGTCTGTGACAGCAGAGACTATTGTTCTACCACAAGAGCTTTTAGTTAGAAAAGAGAGGGAATGGAGAATGTGGAATGACTCTTAGACTTACTTTAAATGCCCACTATGGGTGTTACACCCAGCAGATGATTAGGAAATGTAGGTCTGTCATGACTCACAATGTTACTGTCTTATAACAGTGGTTCCTTACTCCTCAGACTTAGATATACATGCCACTAAACCAATCTTGTTCCTTGAAGCATGATTTTGGCACCAGATGTCATGTGCTACCTTGTGTGACCTTGGACAAATCACTTCCCTGAGCCTCAGTTTCCTTCATCCATAAGATGAAGGCTTAAGAGTTCAGTAACTAGAGATGGCTTCTAAGGTCACTTCCAGCTCTAAGTCTGTGAACCTATGATCATAAAGGGACCATACTATGATTAATAACATGGGCTGTAAAATTGCCCTGAGTCAAGACTTACAAAGGGTTCCATTGTAATCAAGGTACATATTTCAGCTTGACTTCCTTCACCTCTCTGTGTTAGAATCTGTTTCTTCGTTTGTCATCTTTCCTGCTTCCATAGGTATTCTTATGTGGTATATCTTTTTGTTCAATTCAGTAGACATTAAGTGTTTACTGTATGCAAGGTGCTATGCTAGGCATTGAAGACACAAAGAAAACTATCTCCTGCAAGGAACTTAAAGTCTAATACAGGATGAGGGGTGGTTGTCTGTGGAAATACAACGTTTACACAAATAAATTATGGTACAGGACAGGAAGTGATAGGAGCGAAGAGGAGATGCAAAATGCTCCAGGAAAATTTAAGGTCAGTAGTCTAGTCACTTCAGACAGTGGGGAAGGCAATGAGCCAAACAAACCGAGAGTTAAGTTTGATGTCATTCACTCTCTTTCCTAAGAAAAGGCCTTTTGTTCTACTACTTTCCTAAAAGGGGAAAATCTAGGCAAGTTTTTAGACTGGAAAAAAATAATTATTTATTAATACTTTCAGTTGGACTAAAAATGGTTTTTATTATGCTTCCACATGAGACAGCAAAGGAAATGGAGAAGTTGTATAACTAGGAAAAAAGCAATGTCATGAAAAGAAAAAAAGGGCTTCTGAAGCATCATGCTGCCAGTTATATGTATGGGTGTGTGGATGCATATATATTATGTATATATGTATCAAAGAAAATAAGGACTGAGAAATTGCCACTGGATTTGGGAGTTAGGAGGATTGGAATATAAGTCAAAGATTGATTTTTTTCTGTAATAATTTACTTTTGCTACAGAGTCCTAAAAACCAGTGTGCCATTGGTTAGGAGATATTTCTGGAAAAATGCACACAGTTCTGTTGGCTTTATGGAATGGCAACAAAAACAATAATAAAAAGCCAAAATGTGTGTAGAACTTCAAAGTTTGTAAAGTGCTTTCCTCCCAGCAAACCTGTTAAGTAAGCTTCATTATCCTTATTGTACAGATGAAGAAATGGAGATGCTAAGAAGTTAAAGGACTTAGCCAAAGGTCATATGACTAATGTATTGAGACGGGCTTCTAACCCAGGTCTCCTGCACTCTCACAACTGTGCCGAGCTCTCCTGTGCCGTGGGAGAGGGGGAGCATGTCAGACAATATCTCAGAGTTCAGGTGCTTAGGATGACCAAGAGGGAAGGCTTCTGGAGAGGTCACTTTCAGCTGAGGGAATGAGGAAGGCTTCATAAAGGAGGAATCACCTAAATTGGCCCTTGAAAGCAGAGATGAAGAGGTAATGCCTTTACAGGAATGGAGGTTGGTCCTTGCAAATGTATAGAAGCAGGAGAATGTGAGGTAGGATGTCTGCAGTGTCCTGGAGTGCTAAGATATAGACAAGGAGAAAGTCTTTTTTCCTCCCTCCTCTTCCCTTTAATCCCATAACTATTCTATTTAGGATTGTTTATAATTTGAGATTTTCAGGGACTGCAGTTTCTGCTACAGGGAGGGAATAGGGCGGTTGTTTGAAATGCCATCTTTCCCTCAAGCTATAGATAGCCAGACCCAAAGCTCCTTACTTGAGAAACCTCATACTTTCCATAAAGACTTCTCCCTCCCCCTCCCTCTCCAAGAGATTTAGTGCAAATCCCCCCAGAGGTTATTTAACATTAGCATTGGCTAGCAACCCTTTCCCCCAAACCTGCCAACTCACCGTCAGACATAACTGCCGGCCCTGTCCTCATTCTTCAGCACCTTCCTTCTTTCCCTTGGGGAGCACACTACAGTCCTGGAGCCATGGTTGACATGGGGGGCCTAGACAACCTTATTGCAAATACAGCTTATCTACAAGCCCGCGATGGAGACACCAAGGACATGCAGAAACGGCGACGCAGCCTGGCACTGCCAGCCCCTGAGCATTGTGCAGAGCTGCGTCAAGCCTTGCCCACTCACTTTGAGAGTTTGTGTGAGCAGCAGCCCATCGGCCGCCGTCTCTTCCATGACTTCTTGGCCACCGTGCCTGCCTACAAAGGGGCTGTGGACTTCCTCACTGAGGTGTCTAGCTGGGAACTAGCTGAAGAGGATAGTACCAAGGACAGCACTCAGAGGAGGCTGGTGAATGCTTGTGCACAGGCCAGCACCCCCACGGGCCAGCTCCCGTTCCTCAGCCCAGGCCTGGCCACCAAATGCCAGGTTGCCTCTGAGAAGGAGCACGCATCCCTAGTGGAGCTGGCCAAGGCTGAGACGATGGCCTTCCTTCAGGATGGGCCTTTCCGGGACTTCCAAGCTAGCCCCTTCTTTGACAGGTTTTTACAGTGGAAAGCCTTTGAACAGCAGCCAGTAACAGAAAAATATTTCGATGAATTCCGAGTGCTGGGGAAGGGGGGTTTCGGGGAGGTAAGTGTTTCGGAAGGGTCAAAGTAAGAAGGAACTTGCAAAGCATGAAGGTTATTGTTACCAAAGAAATTTACTGTGAGCAAGAAGGAAAACTAATTTCCGTGCCTCACCTGGAGAATTTCATGCCACACTCCATCCATCTAGTTAATATCCTTAACAGAACAATGGCATAGGAAGAAGAAATTAGACTAGATAATTGGGTCACAGTGTTTCCCATGCAGTCTATTTATTGCCCTCACTTTAAATATATCTGTAGAGGTTAGGAAAGGAGGCTTGAGAGCATGTATTTCATAGCATTTTCCCCCATATTTGGGGTGGGAGCAGGGGTTCTGAATCAGTGTAGAAAATCTTTTTAGAGAAAAGATGAGAAATTAACCCTAAAGTATTGTAAGATAGCTCATTCCCATTAGCCCCCCCTTGCATTTATATTCCCTTTTTCCATTAACTTGTCATCTATTTAATATTTTTTACAAATTTATATCATATATATAACCTATATATGTACTAAATGTACAGAAATTAAAAACTGTACACAAATTTATTTTAAAAAGATTAAATGGATGATAAATTTATGAATAAAAATAAAATCTTTACTCTTTATCCATCCCCTCTACTTTCTATCTCTTCCTTTCCTTTCCCTTACCTCCCACCTTACACATATGGACCCAGTCACACTTATGAGCTCTCTCTGTCTCTCATTCTTTTAAGGTGTGTGCCATTCAAGTGAAAAATACTGGCAAAATGTATGCCTGTAAGAAGTTGGACAAGAAGCGGCTGAAGAAGAAAAAGGGGGAGCAGATGGCTCTTCTAGAGAAGGAAATCTTGGAAAAAGTCAACAGCCCTTTCATCGTGACCCTGGCCTATGCCTTTGAAAGTAAGGCCCACCTGTGCCTGGTCATGAGCCTGATGAATGGTGGGGACCTCAAGTACCACATCTACCATGTGGGTGAGCGGGGCCTGGAGACCAACAGGGTCATCTTCTACTCTGCGCAGATCACGTGTGGAATATTGCACCTCCACTCCATCGGCATTGTCTATCGGGACATGAAGCCTGAGAATGTCCTTCTGGATGACCGTGGCAACTGTCGGCTGTCTGACCTGGGATTGGCTGTCCAGATCAAAGATGGCAAGCCCATCACCCAGAGGGTGAGTCTGCCTCTCTACCTCAGGGATAGATGGGGCAAATGGGAGGAAGGAGTCAGAGAGCAGGAGGAGCAGAGCTGTGGCTGTTTCCAATGCAAACTGAGCCCAGGTCTTAATTCCTCCAGTTTGCTAAAGCCCTTATGTGGTCATTTCATCCTAAGTGACAAGGGGTAATAAGAGGATTTGGTTCATTAACCTTTTGATTAATTACATTGTGCTGACCTCTCAGAAAGCCGGGGGTGTGGGGAGGGGCGGTGTGTGTGGGGGTGTTTTTTCTTTGGTTTGTTTTCCGTGAATTTTAAACTGTATGGCTCTGAAGGAGATAGTATATAATGGACAGATCATTGAGGCCAATCCTGACCTCTGAGGACAGATGGTGAAATGTGCCTCTTTCCTCTTGGCAGAGAGGTGGTGGACTCTAGATGTAGAATGAGTCATACATTTTTAGACATGAACAACATTTATTTCTTTTGCTTAACTGTATTTGTTTGTTATGAGGGAAGGTTTCATGGATGTGAGGGGGAGTCTTGGGGAAGTGAATTATGGGAGGGAACAAAGAGCTTTTTTCAGAGCACTGAACTCTGGGAGCTGGGAGGCCTGGATATTAGTCTTGAGCTCTGCTGTTACTTATCTGTGGGAGCCCAAGGTTGGCCTTTTAAACATTCTGGGCCTCAGTTTACTCTCCAGGATCCTTTCTGGCTCTGAAGTTCTGTCCCACTTCAATATATACTTCCATAGAAAAAAGATTACAGCCAGTGATAGAGGTATGGATGGGACTGTGATTTCATTGGTAAAGGGAACTCATGGAGAAGGAAATGCCCTCTGCTGATACAGGTCGGCCACTTCCTTGGTGCTTCCATGACTGAGAAGTTGATGGTTTACCAGCATCACACAAAGTATGTGCCAAAGATGGAACCTGAGTGCAGTCTTCCTGGCTCCCAAGGTCAGGGCTCTCTTCATTCACTGGGCCAGGGCTCCCCATCAGCTAGTAACAGCTGAGGCTTACCTAGTGCTTGAAGGGGGGTTGCAGAGCACTTTACATATCTTATAATAGCCCTGTGAGGCGGATACTGTTATTCCCACTATGTAGATGAGGAAAGTGGGGGGATGGAAAATAAGGACAGTCGATGCTTTTCTTCATCTTTAAATTAGAATTAGGTTAATTTCCTAGGTCAGGACTTTTAAATTTCCTGATTAAGGACACTAACAACACCAGTTAGGAAGTAAGGATGAGATTCAGCTTTCTGTCTTTTGCTACTGACCTTGAAGAGGGCTTCTTGGACCAAACCTGAGACCTGGAGTGTGCATGCACAGTGCACAGCCGCACCTACTGGGACCATGACTTTGTATTTGTGTTGGCTTTACATTTGTCTTTTTAATCCTCCATAAAGCCTTACTTAAAGTGCTCCATAAATATCAGTTGAGTGAATAATAGAACCTCAAAATGGGAAGATCCCTCAAAGATAAGTGTGAATGGGAATGTCCTTTACAAAGTGCCATCAAGCCTTTCATTGAAGACCTGCAGTCTTGAGGAACTTAAGGTAGCCCATTTCATTTTTCAAGTAGCACGACTCATAGGCAGTTTTCCTAATGTTGAGTCAAAAATCTAGCTCTCTGTCGCTTCTACCCATTGCTTCTAGGTCTGCCCCCAGATAACTCCTATCTCTCTTCCACATGATATCCCTTCGAATACTTGAAGAGCTTTCATGTCCCCAGTGTATTTTCATGTTTCCAGGCTAAATGTCCCCAATTCCACCAACCAGTTCTCTTTTTGTTGCATGCTTTTAAGTCTCTGAAATTTTTTTTTTTTGTTTTCATTTTTTTTTTCTCTTAAAGACCTAACCTTACCTGGTCACTGTTTGGGCCCTGATTGGCCCAGAATGAATGTAAATAACAATTGTTTCTGTCTTGGCAGGAAACCCTGAGGCTCTTCCCCTCACAGATCTATGTTTTTTTAAAGAGGCCATTGTTTGATTCATTTTTATTAAGCCATAATCACTGAATGGGCCCTGCCTCAGTCAAACTGAGACCTGTTAAAGACCTTAGCTTGAAAAGGCCAGGGTCCCCCACTGCACCCTGGGCCATCTCCAGTTGTCCCAGTCTGTATCTGGCCACTGGACCCAGAGGGCTCCAGAGGAGAGTGAAGCTGGTGACTGCACAGCTCTTCCTCCCTTAAATCCAGTGCACTTTCATGTCATGGCACCACCTCCCTGATGTCATGGTCCTCTTGGAGAACGAAAGACAAACGGAGTACACAAGCAAGTTCACTCACTTGCCTGGTTACCCTCCTTATCACATCTGCAACTGAAAATGAGAGTCCAGATATGGTCTGACCAGGGCAGAGTCTGTGAGGACTCTCACATCCTTGGTTCTGGATATTCTGCTTGTATTATTGTTGTTGTTAATAAGGTAGTTGTTATTAGGTACCATGACAACTGTTGGCTCATCTTGAGCTTGTAGTTCCTCTAAAACTCTCCAGTCTGTTTTATACAACTGTGATACTGACGTCTCCACCATGCTACCCTGGCAGAGCTGATTTTTCTGAACCCAGATGTTTGACTTCACATTGCTAGTTTCAGCTGTTCAGCCTGTCAAAATATCTTTGGATCTTCATTCTCTCCATTGTATAGGCTGTTCATCTAAGCTTTGGGTCATTTGCACATTTGATAAGAATGCCATATAAACTTTTATCCTAATCATTAATGAAAAGTGTTGAAAAAAATAGAGCCAAGGACAGATGCCTGGGAATATTCCAGTAGAGTCCTCTTCCAGAGACCCCATCTGTCACACCTTAGTATGTCTGGTTATGAACTAGAATCCCATAATGTTAAAACTGGTCTCTCATGTATTTACAGGTCATGAAACCAAAACCCAGAGAGGCTGAGTGATTTTCTCACACAGCTGATTGCTGGCTAAGGTGGAACTGGATCTCTGGTTCAAAGCTCCTTCCATGATAAAATGGGGATTTTTGAGGTCTCTTCCAAATTCATTTTAGTTTTTCCTTGAGGATGGGAAGTTGCCCACACACAGTCATTTGTAACCCTTTATTAAATCCTATTAGATTATTAGATTATAGCTTAGTAGCTGTCTTTAATGTGAAAGAGATGGTTTGTAATAAGCTGATAATTTGGAAGAAGAATTGATTTATCTTTTTTTTGAAGCTTGCAAATTATTAGCTGTATCAATTGAATTAGTTACTTGAGAAACTGCCTTCTATACTATTCAAGGAAATAATTTTTTCCTTTAAAAAATTATTTTGTCACACAGTTCATTTAAATTTGTATTAAATTCACTAGCACTGGCTGTTAGTGGATGGTAAATAGTGAAATTTTAAACAAATTGATTAAGAAATAAGAAAAGCCAAAAGCAATTAAAATCTATTCACTGCACACAGCAGGACAAGCTTTTCCCTGAACAAATATGTACACCCCAGGGCTTACTACAGAGCTGTGCACCTGTGGACACCCATTAAATACTTGTTGATTAAGTAACTGACAGATGGGGCCCATGTCAAGTTGGGCAGCTTGCTAGCAAAGCATGTCTTCATCTCAGAGTTCACATGCTGCTATAATTGAATGTGTTTTTTTTAAATGTACTTAAGTTTTCACACATTTGTCTAAATGTTTAATGTTTATGTTTACCAGGGCATTGAAATGAGTGATTTATTTTCTTTTAAGAACTAATAATAAACAACATTCCCTTATCTGAGGACAGGATTTGTCATTTTTAGGTCAGGAGAGATTTAATTCCTTAGACCACAGGCTGTTTCTAATGCTTTGGGGGAAATAAAAGTCTAATATATTGACTGGTGTCATGGGGCCATTTTTAAATGGAGAGGAACTTGTCTGTGAATTTATGACTGAAGTTTAAGGCATTCTTACGCTTTTGGACTGAACCAAACTTGTTAGTTTCCATAAGCTTAACCAGAGGTTATAGCTATCAGTGGCATCCTCCCTTTTTTAATTCAGTGGGCTGGCACAGTAATTGGCACAAAGTGAATTTGTGTGCTTGCTTCCTCTAAAACTGTGGCTTTCCAACACCACTGTTGGCATCTTCTTTTGTACTCTGAGATGAGATAGTAACTAAATAATGAATGAAAAGCAGTTCTTAAGCTTTGGCTATGTGGCATGGACTGGAGATAACAAACACAACAGCAAGTCAGTGCTTTCCTTCAAATAACTTACATTCTTATGGGAGACCCAATACTTGTAGGAGAGTGGTGGCCAGGAAATGGAAGTGTAGTCTGGGTAGAGCGATAGGGAGGTCAACTAACGTGCTCTTTGCAGGGGCAATGGTAATTTTCATTTGACTTCAGTTCTCAGGGCAAGAGGTTTGGAATGACAGTAAGTGAATCAAATCAAATACCATCCCATCATTAGAGGTGCATTGCAGTCCAGGGTGATAGACAACAGTGACTTCAGCTGTGGAGCCTGGCAGGAATAGCGAAGTGCTGGTGAATTGAGCCCTGGCAGTGTCCCTGATTGGGTTAGCATTGTGGTCAGTGGGATGCCACTGCTCCTAAGAGCTATAGAAATAGAATGGCAGAGAGCTGTAGGCTGGACTTACTCATAACTGTCCCGATGAGCTGCTTGACTCTGAGGGTGATGGAGCAAATGCTACCACTTTCGTGTTCTGGTCCCCCACTAGATGTACTGGGATATACCAGAGACCTCTTTGCTGGAAGCACTTCAGTTTAATGCTGTGAAATGAACTGAAGATAGGATGCCTTTATTTTGTGCCAGTTCTTTTACCATGAGAAAATTGGAAACAGATCCTACTAATTACAGGCAAGGGCTTCATACTGCTCCTTGTCAATGGCACCCGCAGGTTCAATTCACACAACACGTTGCAGACCAATGCAGGACAATCATAAGAGATATCTTGACCCCTAAACCCAGAGAAAAACTAAGTAAGAACTGAAATTGAAGAGGTATTACAATCTGAGGAGGAAAAAAATGAGATCCCAGGGTCAAGGAAAATCTTTACTTTGTGTAAATTCTAGA